ATGGGTTTTTTTTTTTTTTTTTCGGGGATAGAGGGAGCATGCCTGATGGTCCTCAGGTCTCACTTCTGACTCTACTCAGTGATCATTTCTATTGGTGCTTGAGGGTCCATCTGGTTCAGTTCCAGGGATTGAACTTGGTAAGCGGCGTACAAGGCAAGCTTCTTACCTGCTCCACTACCGCTGTGGTCCCACTTGTTTCTGTCTGATTGCTTTGGATTTTGTGTGAGGATTCCAAGGTGATTTATAATGTCATTGGCCCTGCTTCTTTTAACTATAATAGGATTGTAATTAATGCCATGGCTATCTTTGTGAGTTTTTGTGGGAATAGATTATTGGAGCTAAAGTTTAAGTTACGAGGTCGATGGATTTCGATTTACTCACTCTGGAGTCTTTGGGTTCACTGGAAGAAATCTCAAGTGTATTCTAAGGTAAGAAAGAAAGAAGTATCGGTAGCTTTTATAGCAGGTTGGAGGAAGTGAGAGCTTTACAATTCCCTGTGGAACCAGAGGCTGCAGATCCAGATTACTATCATCTTATTAGTAGTAATATGCAAAAACTTTCCTTCTAAAGCCTTATTTTCTCTCCTTCCGTGCTATTATCATAAAAGTTATATTTTAACATTATTAATTTTGATTTAGTAAAATTAATAAAGGATTTAAAAGATGATATGGAACAGAAGCCTGTCTTTATAAATTATAACATTTTTCTTTTTCCATTTTTGGGCCACGCCCAGCGTTTCTCAGGGCTGACTCTGCATTTAGGGACTGTCTGGAGGGCTTGGGAAACCACATGGAGTGCTTGGGATCAAACCTGCATCAGTTGCATGCAAGGCAAGCACCCTACGTGTTCCAGTGGTCATTTTTTTTCTAATCATGGAGAAAAATATATCGTTTTTATGTCTTCGTATACCTAGAATTCTTATATAGCTACTTTATTTTAACAGTTTCCTGATTTTTTTTAAAGTAAACTTTATTTTGATACACTTTTATCAAAATATAAGTTACAGGGACTGGAGAGATAGGATAGCAGATGGGATGCTTGCCTTGTACACGGTTGGCCCAGGTTTGATCCCAGACACCACATGTGATCCACCACTAAAAGTAACCCCTCAGCACAGCTGATTGTGGCCCCAAAATAAATACATAAGTACGTAAGTAACATAAAGTGTACCTACTTTAATGATAGGTTGTACAAATATTACACCAGTGTTTCTTAAACAGTACCCTTTGCCATCATTTTTAACCCATCACCATTATGAACACAAAATACTAATCCCATTGATTTGTAACTACTGACTTCCCTTTTTATTTTGCACTTTCTACTAAGTTAACTAATGTTTTGTCTCTTATGATTGCAAATAACTTGTTTATGTAATGATGTTATATTTCTCCTTTAAAATTAGTTGAGTATGATACTTAAGTTTTGTTACGCATGTGAATTTCTTCCCTGAGACCGTCTTTAAACTCCAAAAGTTATTTTATGAAAGAACCGTGATTTACAAAGCTGAGTTTAGACATATGACATTCTAGAACCAATCCCACCGTCAATGCCAGTGTCCCTCCACCAGTGTTCCCAAGTTCCCCCTGTCCTGTTATCCCACCAAGCCTGCCACCTTGGCCCGCAGGTAACTTTTAGATTTTGGTTGTTGTAGTTTGGATATCGTGTTCTCATGAAGCAAGACGACGTGAAGCAGTTGTTTTATCACATTGCCCAGATTTTTTCTTTGTATTTTTGTATTTTCATGATAAAAATAAGAGCAGTATTTTCATTTCAGTAGTTACTTGTATAACTTTGGTTGAGATTTTCCAACTTTATACACGAGCAATAATATGTTAATTTCCTTTTCTCCTTTCCTTTTTTCCACCAGTCAATTGATTGCCTTCTTTGGTGGTTTCCTTTGTTTTGCTAAATATCCCATTACTTCTGTCAGGTTCTAAAATGTTTAAAAATACTTTCAAATCTAGGCCAGCTTTTCCCTTCTAAAGGGGGCTTTTTCTTCTTAGACTTCAGTTTGTGCATGTCTTGTCTTTCCCCACCTCTTCTTCTTAGACCCCTGCTCTTGGAAAAGTCCAGTCATTTTACCCCAAAGAAAGGAAGATTTAGCTGTTTGGTGGGCAGTTTCTGCCTCCACAGACAACAGAAATAAATCGAAGTACTGCCACAGGCAAAGTCTATCAGAGGAAACCATTACATCCTGTCAGAGTTTCCTGAAGATTGCATCACCAGGCTTAATGTGCTTTGAACCTAGACTACAGTCCTTGCCAGTCCTTTCTCCTGAGGTCCCCAGACCAAGGAAGAGGGCCTTCCAGACAGGGAAAACCTCTTTTTGAATTTATTTTACTATAGTCACTGCTTTACAATTTTATAGTACTGTCATTCTAGGATTTCATGCTTACAACATTCCAGCATCACACCCACATCACTAGTGTGTGTATTTCTCTCAACTGTTGTCCCCAGATCTCCCCTGAGCCCCCTCCACAGACTCCCCCAGACTCCCACAAAGTATCTCAATCACCATGATTGCGATACTTTGGGGTCTACTTTCTGTAGACTGTTTCTTAGATTCTGTTAGTTTGGGCCAGTTAATTCTTTACTATGTGTCTTTATATCTCATAGAGAAGTTACTGTGTCAGTCCTAGCTAATTTCATTCATCACAGTACTTTCCAATTCCACCAGTGTAGTGAAAAGTTGCGTGATTTTGCCTTATAGCCAGGTAGTATTTATTGTGCATATATACCAGTTTCTTTATCCAGGCATCTGTTCTTAGAGACCTGAGGGAACAACCTCTTTTAGCCTATATCACCGCAGTTAAGTCTTTCATCTTGGTATGGGTGAAAGACTTTCGAACTGAACAGTTTCAGGTGAAATTTTGGCAGAGATTTTAGGCCTCATCCCCAGACTGTCATTTATACCTTACTGTGGTCACCGTCTTAGATTCTATTTCCCCTGTCCTCAGACCTTTTCAGGCTCTTTTCAGGACCCAAAGTTTAGGTCAAAGGGAGCTTGCTGTCAAATGATCACCCCTCTGAGGAATGAGACGTGAAACACGTGAAATGCACATAAGGGTCCGCTGAGGCTTGAAAGCCCATTGCTCTGCCAAAGCCCATTTCTTGTCTGTCCCTGCTTCTGTATCTTCGCAGCCAGCCCTCTCACATCCTGTCTGCTCAGTTTCCTTGTGTTTTCCCCTTGGCTTTTGGGCCAGACCCAGTGTGGTCAGGGCTTACTCCTGCACTCCAAGATAATCCCTGTGGGTTTCGGAGATCATGAGTTGAGATACTATCTCTTTAGCTCCAAGTCTCCTTTGACCATCGTACCCCTCCTCCCTTGATTTGTGGCATCCAAAAATGTGACACAAGGCGTGGAACCAAAACCAAAGATTCCTAGAGTGACTCAAAGGAATTAACCTTTCAGGTATCCTGAGAAAGGGAAGGAGTCCTTGAGGACACTTTCTTGGCGTCCCTGGAGTCATTGTAGCCACTTTCCCACACTGCCATGTAGGAAAACGAGGGGGGAATTCTGGGCCAGAGTACTTTGACTTCTCAGGCCATGGGAACAGTCAGTAGGCCCTTTCCTTCCCGGCAACCAGAAAGAGCTCGTGTGTTATCCTTTAGAGTTTATTTAGCCCAGTGTATAATGAAAGGAACCAGCCCGAGGGACTCACTTTTCGGGTCAGAAAAGTCAAGACATTAGATCCTAATGTTGCTCTTCTCTACTGAGGATCCCAGACCTGGTCTGACGGGATAGGCTGCCTAAGCCGGGGATAGGCCCTGGTGAGTCGTGCAGTTTGAGCACTTAACTGGGTTCACCCTGGCAGTTTGGTGGATGGTGGGCTGCTGACTCACAGGGAACCCCACCACCCCTCTCCCCTCCAGGGAAGACGACTGTAGCATATGTCACGGGCTGGGAGCATCTCTTAGGAGGCAGAGGGGGTGATGAAGATGAGGCTGGGGGCTTCCCTGAAAGAGGACCAAGAGGCAGGTTGGAGTAGGTCGTGGTGTCGAAGGAAGGTGGTGAATCAAGCCTAACATACGGCACATCTGAGGCCCCGTCTCTTGCAAGGGCAGAGTCAGCGGTGGGGTGGAGCTCCTGTAACAAAGCAGGCACATCCACAAGGGCAGAGTTGGGGGTTTTTTGTTTTTTGTTTGTTTGGTTTTTTTTTTTTTTTTTTTTTGCTTTTTGCTTTTTGGGTCACTCCTGGCTCTGCACTCAGGAATTACTCCTGGCGGTGCTCTGGGGACCATATGGTATGCTGGGATTTGAACCTGGGTCAGCCACTTGCAAGGCAAACGCCCTACCTGCTGTGTTATATCGCTCCAGACCAAGGGCAGAATTCTTGCCTCTGCCTCAAGACCCCAGTTCCTTCCACTTCCCACCATCAGAAGGTGGGATATCAAAGCAGAAGGAAGGCCATGAGGCCAAAATTACAGCATTTAGGAACCGTTTTGACACCAACTAGATTGGGATCCTTCCCTACTCACTCCCATTATCTTGGAACCTGTAGGAAGGCATGGTAACTGGAAGATCTGGGGAACTGGGCTGGAGAGGGTGTGGGATTTACAAAGGCCTCTTACCTTACTTGAAGTTCGATTGTTCTGGGATTGACCACGGATACCAAGCCTGATCCCTGGCAGGACAGAACATAGTGCCATCCACTTCCTCTGCTGTCTACTCTAAAACATCTTTCCGGGACCAATCTCACCTTATTCCCACCCCTAAATATCTAAGCAGGACCCCCAGACTGCCTACTCCCACTCCTCCCCAATGCACAGTTTACACCACCCTACCTCCTGGGACCTGTGCCCTCATTGTCCTGTCCCACAGCACCCCCTTTCCAATTCCACAGTCTCTCCTTCCCGCCTCTGCCCCCTAACTCATAGAAGTTTTGGAGTCTCAAAGCTCAGCCAAGTCCCAAACCACCCAATGATGGAGGGAACATAGATCCCAAGCCATCATGGAACCTGAGTGGCCACCTTGGAGTGATGAATCCAGAGCCACCTACCTCTCTTTCTGATGACTACTGCAAGCAGCACCACCGCCACAATGAGGAGGCCCAGCAGCAGCACGGCACCCCAAATCAAGGGGACACTAAGGGACACGGGGAGAGGCGAGGTCAGTCCTGTTCAGGAACAGACACATGGCAGGACAGTGAAGGCTACCCCCTTCTCTGGGATGAAATGACTGCGGCCGACCTGAGGTAAGGAGGAATGTCTGTCCACCTGCCTGATCATTCCCAAGGGTGTAAAGAATCCTGGGTGCCCCTCTGATTTGGTCTGAGGTGCTAAGCAGACCACCACCCTTTCTCTGAGAAGACATGCAAACACTGTACCTCTTGTCATCCTGGTCCACAGGGATGAGGCTGCCAGTCCTAACAGTCTCTTCCTTTCCCATCTCATCTTTCGGCTCAGCAACTGAGTCTGATGGAAATACTGAGAACATACATACCCATTACCGCCAGGGTGCAGGATTTATTGTGTGCTTTAGCATGGGGAGGAAGTTGCCAGTATGAAATTCAAAGACTACTATTATGTTGTTTTGGGGGGTCACGAAGGGTCTGTCATGGTGGAGCCCCTCTCTTGTGGCACATTCCTGCGATGCCCCTTTAATCTGCCTGAAGCCCAGCTTTCCTGAGCTGCCACTGTGGGCACATGCTCCCCATCCCTTGGAATACCCACCCTGAACATCCACAGTACTTAGCATCACCCCCTTTTCCACCCCAACACACACACACACACACAGCGCCAGGACCTCTCTCCTGCTTCATCCCCCAGGAAATCTCATCTGATGACCATTTGCCTCTCAGGCGTAATCTTTTGAGTCACCAGACCTCCAAGTGTCTAGGAGGGAGGAGAGCCGAGGATAAGAGTTCACCAGGAGTGAGATGATGCTATAAAATAGCGACCAGAGGAGCTGGAGTGATAGTACAGCTAGTCAGGCGTTTGCCTTGCACGTAGCCAACCTGGGTCCGATCCCCGGCATCCTATATAGTCCCCCCAAATACCACCAGGAGTGATTTCTGAGTGTAGAGCTAGGAGTAACCCCTGAGCATCGCCAGGTGTGACCCAAAAAGCAAAAATATAATAAAGTGTATTAAAATGGACTGGAGTGATAGCATACTGGGTAGGGCATTTGCCTTGCAGCCAACCCGGGTTCGATTCCTCCATTCCTCAGCCCGGCAAGCTACTGAGAGTATCACACCCGCACGACAGAGCCTGGCAAGCTCTCCATGGCATATTCAATATGCCAAGAACAGTGACAAGTCTCACAATGTAGATGTTACTGGTGCCCACTCAAGCAAATCCATGAACAATAGGATAGTGCTACAGTGCTACAGATTAAATAAAATAGCATGAATAGGAGATGATAGTATCATCTGATGATGACTTCATCCCTCACTAATAGATGAGAGACAAAAGAATGAACAGTGCCTTCTCATTATGTGGGGTATTACACAAATTATTGGAAAAAATAAAAACCTAGAAATAAAAATGAGCATCCCTCTGTTCCCAGTGCCTGTCCCTGCAGCAGCAGTCAGTCCCGCACCTTCTTCTCTCCAGAAAATTCTTGTTATACAATACCCTGTTTGAAGAAATAGCACTTTAAAATGCACTTTGAATAAGTCCTTGGACATTAAAAAGTCGGGCTGCAAGAATAAGACCTGTAAAGCATGTTCCCTCCTGATAACAGCATTGAGAGTATTTGTGCATCAAGGACACTTATTCCATTGGGGGAACTAAGTGGGAGCAGTTTAGGCATTTAACCTGGCTGTGAGGTGAGACACATACCAGATGTTTGGTGAAGACTTACAAAATCAAATAAGATGAATTTGGTGATTTTCCCAGCCATCAAAAATATTGCATCGCCGGGTGTGACCCAAAAATTTTTTTAAAAAATCTTTTTTTAAATATTGTTAAAGGAATTTTAAGGACTGGATCATACAAAGATATGAATTGGCCATATAGCAATTGGTATGTCTGAATTAGTGTTTTAGCTCTTCTAGGGGAAAAATAGCCTCAAGTACGTTGAAAATGAGGCTTTTGAGGCCATGGGGTGGGATGTAAGGCTTGGGGGTATGGAGAATCAGCTTCTTGTGGAGACCTGGTCACCGGGGGTGCTTTAACCACTGAGTGTTCTTTTCCCAAAAGGACTTATCTATGTCTCCAGACCTAGAGACCAGGCCCTCTATGGGTGGCTGATAGAGATGGGGGAAGGCAGACCACAGGCTGACTTCTCAACCATTTTGGTTTCCGTTCCCTGCACAGCTGTGAAAGGCTATCTGTCTGGAATTCCTCCCAGGCTGGGGGCCAGCAGTGCCCCCGAGCAACTGGGAAGGGACAGACAGGTCAGATGAGAGGCTCTATGGCCACCCGGGCTACCTCACCTGTCGGTAACACGTCCAGAGTCACCCTGTGCACCGTCTGGGGCCCCGTGGCCCGCTCCACCACACAGCCATACTCCCCAGCATCCTCTTTCTGCAGTGTCACCATCTCTACCTGGAGTAGGCCACCACCCATGTCAGTGAGGAACATTCGGCCACCTGTTGGGGCCCGGCGGTCCACTGTGGAGGAGCCCAGGGCCTGGCAGCCATCAGGCAAGAACCTGCACCACACCTTCCGAGACCTGGTATCCTGGAGGCCATAGTGGCACTGCACCTGGATGGAGCCCCCTGCAGGAACCTGCAGCACCTCAGGGTGACTGTCAGCCCAGCCTTGGCCTGGGGAAAGAGAGGACATGGAGAGAGAAGGCCAGAGTGGGACACTGCCCAGCCCAACCTTGGGTACTTGCACCAGGGTCTCATCCCTAGAGGGGGGCAATCACACTGCAGCTGCTCGGGAAGGGCCCGACAGTTCTGGCGGCTTGTTCCCCACCCCCCCACCCCCCACCTCTTACCTGAGGGACCCAGGAGCAGCAGGAGCAATAGGTGCAGAGCCATGGTGGCAGGGAGATGACAGCCCCAGGCTGTGTGGGCACTGAGACAGCAAATAGCTGCCTCAGTCTCTGGGGATCTGCCTTTGTGGAGTGGGAGCAGAGCCACGGGGAGCCTCGGTGGGTGGGGATAAGGAGCTCTTAATTCCTGTTGGCTCCCTCACCCCATGTAGGGGCAGGCAAGGCAGGGATAAGGCAGACAGGAAGGGGTGACTCAGGGACAACGGGGAGGAGATGAGGGCCCCCTGGAACATGGTGGAGAGAGGACCAGTGCACTCTGGCACGCTGTGGGGGGAAAGGATGAGATAACCTTGGGTGTCTTCACCCTAACTTGGGTGATCCTCACTCTGGGTGTTCATGCATCTCCAAATCCTGCAGTTCTGAAAATGAGATAATTTATTTGCTAATTATCCCCCAACCCCCACCCCAGAGCTGGCAGTTTTTTCTGGAATTATTCGTGGTTTTTGTTTGATTTTGGGCCACACCTGTTGGTGCTCAGAGCTGACTCCTGGCTCTGTTCAGGGCTCACTCCTGGTAGGCTCGGGGGACCTTACTTCCCCATTCCTGCCAGAGATGAAGATGGGTCCATGTGTGTGATGCTCTATATAAGTTGTAAGTCTCATAATTGTTTTTCCCAGTGGTCCAAGATCCCTGACTCTCCTTGCTGATGCCTGCCTACATAGCGAGTGAATAATGACCTGGGATTTGATGGGGCTGTGTGTGGAAAATCCATTTCTCTCCTTCCCTTCCCCCTCCTGCTCTGTTTGCTTTATCTTGCTCTTCCTTTCAGGAGCAAGGGAACAGAGAATGAGAAGCTTAGTGCCAGAGCCCCAGAAAGCCCAACTAGTATGTGAGCCAACTTCAGTGGCAGGTACAAGAAAGTGACCAATAGTCTCTGCTTGCCTGTGACCCAGGGTTTTGCCAGGACATAGGCTCTCAATGGTTTGGGAAAACCAGACAGGGAGATTGCACCCAGGAGTGACACGGATAGGCTTCTAACTGCTCTGCATCAGGTTTCTTTTATTTAAAATGTTTTATAATAAGGTTATAGGGTTACAATACTGCTAAAGCTTATGCTATACAGTATTGCTATACAGAGTCACTGCACCCCACCACCCCAAAGTGCCCATGACCCTCCACTATTGTCATTGTGTCGCTTCTAGTTCCATCATCATCTCCCACCCCCTCCAGATGTCCCCTGTTTGTTAATGTCTATTCACTTGTGTTTTTTTGTTTCTCGATATTCCACAGATGCGTGATGGAATCTGTATTTGTCCTTCTCCTACTGCTTTTTTTTTTTTTTGCATCACATGATACCTTCCAGTTTTATTCATGTCACAGCAAACTGCAAGATTTCAACTTCTTTTATAGGTGCATAGTTTTCCACTGGGCACATCTACACAATAGGCTGTTTTCTGAGGAGTGTGTGGACACCCAGTGGTGCTCAGGACTCAGGGATCAGTCCTGGCAGGGACTAATATGTGGTGCGGGTCAGACACATGCAAGGCAACATCTTACATGATATACTCTGTAGCCATTTTACAACAGAAAGGTTGTTTTTTTTGTTTGTTTGTTTGTTTGTTTTCCTTTTTTTTGATGATAGAATAGTGTTTATACCAATAAGTCACTTGTGAGTATTTTATGGAGAGGAGATCCATCTTCAGTGCTTTCCTGTGTAATTGACAGCCCCTGATGCTGCTGCAAGTCTATAAGGGGAGCGGGAAGGCAGGATTTGGCTCAGTAGGTCTCAAATAGGTCTCCTACCTATAGCTCTTCCTACCTACAGAAGAAGAGGGCAATACCAATGCTCCAAATGATACTCTGAACATACTTTTAGAATGCTGTGTTCTCACACTTTACCCAAATAGATAATAGGCTGACACATGAGGACAGGAGGCTGAAAGTTAGGAAGGCCCTTCTGACTTCTCAGTAAAAGGCAACGTTGAAAATTGGATTCTAATCTCAATGGTTTCCACCCCCTTCTCCATGTTGCCCCAGAGTGCAAGGCAGAGGACCCCCACGGTGATGAATCCTGAGTTTTGCCAGCAGCAGGGCCCAAGACCAAGAAGGTGGAGAGAGCCCAGCTTGCACTCAGCTGGGCCCTGGGTCTGTGGGCTGGAGGCACTGAGGAAGTGTCACAGGGCTGAATCAGGGAGATCAGGACACATCTGGACTGGAGTACAGGAGGGAGGCAGGGTAGGGCCCACAGAGCATCTTGGATGGAAGGGCAGCTAGGCCTGGCGCTGGACTGCAAGGCTCCCCACAAGAACTTCAGGGACTTCTATACTCTTCAAAAATAGCCATGCAGGGCTATGGCCACAGAGGCCCTGAGGCTTCTGTGTCTCTGAGTTCCCAGAAAGAGAGCCCCAGGGTTGGGCCCACTCTGGGGAGGTGCCTTCCCAGTGATGCCCTGTCGGCTGAGATGGTGTGTGGGTCCTGAAGAGTTTCCAGTTTCCTTCTCGGTAGACTGTCCATAAACTGTATCATGAATATCACCTCCTGGAGGTCTCAGGTTTATCTTCATTGCCTCCTCAAAGGTACTTTGGTATCTGGGACTACCTTCCTTTGAATGCCACCTGTACTTTCTGTGCCCTCAGTACCAACCTTGCTTCACTGAGGACATTTTTCACAGTCCCCAGCCTTCCCATGACACCCTCCCAAATAATATTATCTATTATGTGGGTTTCTTCCTCGGGAAGGAGGACAAAAAGTTTGTGTCCCATGCCTAGAAGAGTGTCTGTCATGTCACCTTATAAATGTTTTTATAAAGTGTAAAATAAATGAATATTCAAATAAGATAAATCTAGAAGAAGAAGCATTGAACAGCAAGTAAAATTAGATTTCCAGGATCTCCTGGGAACTTCAGAGAAATCTTTTCCTTGTGAGTCCCTTCTGGACAATAGGATGCCATGAGGAATAGATCTAAGCTCACTTGGGCCTTTTGTTTTTTGTTTCTTGGGGTAGGTTGCATGATGAAGACAAAACTCCAGCCTAGGGTAAACAATGAGCATGCCATCTGGAATTGGGAAGGACTTGGTCATGGAGGAGAGGACCTGGGAAGGGGATACCAGCATTGGTTTTAGACCTGGATGGACAGGAGGCCACAGGAAAGGGGAAAGGAGGACTAAGTGCTAGAGGGTTGTGTTTTTTTTTTTTTTTTGGCCTTTTGGGTCATATTCGGAGATGCTCAGGGGTTACTCCTGGATCTGTACTCAGGAATTACTCCTGGAAGTGCTCAGGGGACTATATGGGATGCTGGGATTCAAACCCGGATTGGCCATGTGCAAGGCAATCCGGTAAACACCCCACCTGCTGTGCTATCGCTCCAACCCCTAAAGGTTCTTTTTAATGTTTGTTGTTTTCTTTGCTTTGTTTGTTTGAGGGGAATACTCCTGGCTGTTCCAGAGCTGACTCCTCCCTCTACACCCAGATATCACTTTTGAAAGTGCTCAGTCGACCATCATGCTGTGCTGAGAATCTAACCAGGTTTACCATGGACAGAGCAAGAACCTTAACCTCTTAAGCCTTGTGCTATCTCTCAAATCAGTTGACTCAACTGATCCTTACTGTAGCATGAGAGAAGACTGTCAGGGCTGGAGCAATAGTACAGCGGGTATAGCATTTGCCTTGCATGTGGCTGACCCGGGTCTGATCCCTGGCATCTCATATGGTCCCCCAAGCACTGCCAGGAGCAATTCCTGAGTGTAGAGCCAGGAGTAACCCCTAAGCATTGCTGGGTGTGACGGAAAAAAAAAATTAAAAAAATAAAGAGACTGTCTCGATATCCCAGAGCAGAGAGTTAAAATGAAGTCTTGGATTTATTTGTGAGTGTATAATATCAGGACCCACACATTCATAGACATCCTTCACACTTCAACGCTGACACATACACATGCTTCCAGGAGCAGTACAAGCAGAGTGGATCTTTTTCCAAAGCACAACCAGGCATTTCGAAGACTGAGGGATGAAGGTGCAGGATAGGTGACACCTGAAGACACTTCCTGGTCTCTCCTCCCAGGTGGGGTCCTTTCCTCTCATGTGTCTCTTCGCACTGCAGCAGTCCAAGAACTCACATAGTTCCTTGCATTCCCACCTCACCTGGACACCCTCCACCTCACTGTGCTCTACAACGCTCACCTGTCAGAGCTTGGAGCTGGAGCCCCAGCACATGGCCAGAGTCCAAGTTGCCAATTGTGCTTGTCTTCGATCTCTGTACACTCCGGGCCGCAGCCCAGAGTGCGCCAGCAATGAGAAGCTTGCTTAGAAAGATGCAGGCCAGGATGAGGAGCACGGAGGAGTGTGGGAAGGTGATCTCAGAGAGGTTCCTTGAAGAAACACACAGGGAAAGGGGCTGGGGCAACCACTGGAATGACCCTTTATGAGAAAGGTAGAAGGAATCCAGGAGGTGACTGGAACTCAGGAGACTCCCTGCTCCACATAGTCCCTGGGATGGAGTTTTGGGCTGCAGAAGCCTGTAGTGAAAGTGCTTGTGCTCTGACCTTGGGTCAGCATATCACCTTCCCTGACTGAGATGGTGTCTGCTGTGATTTCTTCAGTCCATAATGGTACTAGAATAGGTGGTATGTATGTGTATGTGTGTGTGTGAGACACATACATACAGAAAGACAGTTTAGTGTTTTCTATGATAACTGTTTCAGCACCAGTATTCAGACATGAACCAATCAGAACTGAGTCTGGTCCTGCCAGATACGCAGGGAAGTGATGATCCCAGCTTTGTCTGAAGTACTGCATTTTTTACTATTGCCAAATTGTAGGGCTATTCAAAGACTGTCAGGAAGAAGAGTCTATGGAAAAATTCAGTATTTTAACAACTAGTACATCCTACCAAAACATATTGGCTGGTGAAGGGGTGTTTAGACAAAACGTATATATCCCTTGAATGATTGAATGCCATGAAAATTACTTCTCTTAGGATCCCTCTCTCTCACCCTCCATCTCATGCTGGGAGTCTGTAGAGTGAAGTCTACACAGGACTATACCTGGAGATGCTGTGCTCCACCTGGGAACCCCCAAAGCTCTCGAACTCCTCATCACTCCAGATATTTTCAAGTTTCTGGTGATCAATAGGGTCTGAGGAAGACAGAATATGTGAGTTTCCAGTCCCCTATCCTTGATGCCACCTTCCATGATGGAGACAGACCTCTACATGGAGTGAGACCCCACTCTGTCCCATATATTTTCCATCATTAGCCTCACTTCATTTCATATACATATGAAGAAACAGTCCTCAGTTTCTTCATATGTACAGTGGTTCCGTTCAGAACACCTTATCCAAGTTTTTCAGGGGCTGGGGAGAGTCAAATCACTGCATAGGCCCTCTGGAGGGTATTGGTGGCTCCCAACACTGCCCAATCTGAACAGCATTGGAAATGCCTCCTTGAGCCCTCTAATCTCTTCCTGGAGCACCTCCATCCAAGAAAAAAGTATTGCGGGGGTCAGTGTAGTGCCAGTAGAAGCTAAGTAACTAGTACACAGAACCAAACATGTTTGACCTCTGGGAAGATCTAATGGATAAATGGATGGGTTTGAAAGACTGTGTTCTTCCAGATGCCCACAAAGCTCTGGATGATGATGTAACCATTAGAGTATTCTCATCTTGCCTTAGACCCTGATGGGTCTGATCATTGAGGCATCCTCCTCCACGTTTCTTTTCCCCTTAGAAGAGTGGTGGAGGAGTGCAAGGAGGAAGTGATTCTAGACAGTGGGTCATCCCTTCCCACTCCCCAACCTTATATAAACACATCTCGGGGGTTCTTATTTCAATAAGGCCAGGAGTTGGGAAAGGAGGGTGAGATAGGAATAGTGGCCACAGGATGCATCTCCTTGAGAGACAGTCAGGCCTAGTGTGGCAGCAGTGAACTTTCTAGGAGGTCTTCCCCATGCCGAGCTGGGGAGCTGCCTCACCGTATCCTGCTGAGAGTGAGGACACAAAGTGTAGAGGCAGCAGGAAGCTGGGGCTCAAGGTATCACTTACTGCAACGGACTCTCTCCTTTGCCTCAGAACTTTGTGTTATCAGCATCTCAGACACCCTCCCCTCAACTTAAAGATGAAGAGATGGCGAATTGTGGAGATAGCTCAATAGTTGAGTACATGCTTTGCATGCAGAAGGCCTGGGTTTTATCCTTAAGGCGGCTGGGAGTGATCCTCTGAGGACAGAGCCAGGAAGAGACCCTGAACACTGCCTTTACACACAAAAACGAACCAAAAAAAAAAATAGGCCAGGGTGATAGTACAGGGTAGAGGGCATTTGCATTGCACATGGCTGAACTGGGTTCGATCCCCAGCATCCCATATGGTCCCCCAAGCACCACCAGGAGTGATTCCTGAGTACAGAGCCAAGAGCAACCCCTAAGCATCACTGGGTGTGACCCAAAAAGATTTTTAAAAAATAAATAGGAAGGAAGAAAGAAGTAAAGAAAAAAAGAAAGTAGGAAAGAAATAAAGAGAAAGAAAGGGAGTCAAAAATAAAGATAAAATAGAGGGCTCAAGAGTCAACTTCATCGCCCAGGGTCATAACCAAATGTCCCTTTCTAGGGTTGTATCCTTGTACCAGGGATAACTTAATTTAAAAGGGGCAGGGTTGACCATTCCTGACAGTACGTGGGGCTATTCCTGGCTCTGTGCTCCAGGGCTATTCCTGGCTCTGTGCTCCTCCAGGGGACCAGGAGATAACAGATTAATCCTGGGTTAGCTGCATACAAGACAAGCAACTTAACCCCTGTATGATCTCTCTTGTCTATTTCATTCAATTTTACATTATGTTGTAGGAACAGAATAAATGAGTCTTTTTCTTCCCCTTAAAGTATTTACATCCTATCTGGATAGCAAATCATTAGTGCTGGGTGGGCTAGCTAATAAAGCACCTTATGCAAATGAGAAAAGGGAAGCTTTTCCTGAACTCAGGACTGTAGTTTGGCGCCACTTCAGCGGTAGCCCTGAGCGGGGGAGGGACATTTGATGGGACGTTCTGTGCACAGATACCAGCAACATGAGCCCCAGCCCGAGGGCAGGTCAGGGGTTCAGCCTGGCAGACACTCACTGGCCGTGACTTCCACCAGGACTGTCCTTAGGGTGTCGGCCTCACCGCCGTGGAGACTCTGACACCGGTAGAGACCTGCATCCTGGGCTTGAAGATTGCGCAGTGTGATGGTGAGTGTGCCGCCCAGGGCATCATCCACGATGGCCGTGCTGCCGTTCCTCCTCTTCAGGAAGGACAGCAGCCATGAGTGGTGGGTGCTCACCACCAGCTGGCAGGAGCCCTCTTCACCCAGCTGGCGGCACCAGGCTTTGCGCCGCCCCCAGTGCTTCAGGGAGTCGTAGGGGCACAAGACTTGCAGGGACTGGCCTGCCGTGCCCTGAAGCACTGTGGTGTTGTGGGCCTTTGACAGCTCTGTAGACAGGGATGGGGAGAGACATTAATTCACTCCTTCCTTCAGGTACTGGCTCAACTCTGTTATGTGGCATGGATGAGAGACAGAAATCCTGCCCTGAAAAAGCTTCCACTTTTAATTCCTTTTTGCTTTTTGGGTCACCCCCAGTGATGTACAGGGGTTACTCCTGGCTCTGCACTCAGGAATTACTCCTGGTTGTGCTTGGGGGGACCATATGGGATGCTGGGAGTTGAACCCGAGTCAGCCACCTGCAAGGCAAACACCCTACCCGCTATGCTACCACTCCAGCCCCAAGCTTCCATTTTTTATTTTAAAAAAAAGGAGAGAAGGTGACAATTGGGTGCTAGGAAACCCAGGACCTGGGTTTGACTTCCTCATGGGTAGGCTTGCTGGATATTTAACTCCATAATTCCTTATTTATTCTTTCCATCTTTGGAGAAGTTACTGACTCTCTCTGGATTTATTTTCAGAGACAGTTTGTCCTCACCTTCAATATGCAGCATCTTTTCTCTCTTACAGGTGATACAGGCCTCATCTCTCCTTTTCATTTCAAGAGAGAAAAGCTAGTGACATGTGAACAGGAAACCCTCCCTGTGTTTCTGCCTCCCACCCCACCCCCACCTCCCTGCTTATTCTGCAGCGGTCTATCCTGGCACCAACCACTCAATTTCCTCTGACTTTCAGCTTCCAGCTTCCCTATTTCTGTGGTGTGGTTCCTCTTTCAGGAGGGACCCGTGTCAAGGTTATTTTGGAGGAGACATGAAGCTGCTATTTTGGGATCCTCTTAGGATAGGGACTGCGGGCTTAGGGCACTCGTCTCTTTTCAAGACAGGGTTGCAAAGGATTCATTCTGAATCCTCTGCCTCAGCTGTCCCTTTCTGGTCTTTCCCTGACCCCCATCTTAAACTATAAGGTGAATAGAAGAGATAGTAAAGGATTTTATCTGGGAGCTGGTGGCCTCTCTCTGGAGACAAGCTATGAATCATGCTTCCCATACACACTTGACATCCCTCTCCCTCCGAATACCACCTTGTTCACTCTGCTTCTATGTTGAGATATTCCCTCCTCTCCCCCAGGTTCTGCTTGATTCTGCCAGGGGAGCAAGAGAAACCCTCCTTTGCCTCAAAGGGAAAGATAGCTGTGTTTTTAAAATCTGGGGAATTTCAACTCTCTAATAGCAATTATTGTCTTCACCAGCCACTCACAGTGCACTCCAAAGATTTTCAGTCATTGGCTATCTCTTCATTCTTCTCGGACACTCCTCTCGGGATAGTCTTAGGTGAATTATCATCAAAGAGGCTTCTACCTGCTCTCCCCACTCCCATCAATATCCTCCCAAGGTCAGCAAATGCCTAAGATATCATCATATGTCACCAAAACACATCATCCCTTATACCTCCATATGCCTAAAATGTGACAATGGATTCTGACATCAGAGAGGAAGAGAGCATGAAGGAAATGATGCAGGGCAGGGAAGAAAGAGGTCAGAACTTGCATAGGACTTCAGCCTCCTTCAACCACCTTCAGAGCTGGCACCCTGCATCTACCCACCCACTACATGTTCAACAAAGGGGGAGGAGAGAAGGCATCGTCAGTAGAGAGGAGGCATCCTACCTGCAGTAGAGAGTAAGGCCAACAGCCAAAGAACCTCCATGGCACGCTTGTCTGCAGAAAGCAGACTCCTTGTGCAAGATCTTGTCTTGTTCTTGAATAGTAGAAAGGCAAGACTCAAATCCATCAGGCTCTGCTCATAGCAGTGACTCCTGGGGATTGAGCAATAGTCAGAACTTGGTTCTGGCTCTTTGATTGGAAGAAGGAATGTGGATGAGGTGGGCGGTGGGGGGTTGGGGGGGGCGGGTGGTAAAGGAGGAAGTTCCAGTGTGGCAGCAGGAGTCTGGAAAGTTAGCACAGCTGGCAGAAGATGGTTGAGTCCAGGGCTATGTGGAGTATCCTTATGGTGCCTCATGTCTTGATTTCAGTGCCATGCTATTTGAATCAGTAACATCTTTGTGGTAATACAGTTTGTAACATAATTTGAAGGCAAGGTAACTTGATGTCTCCATTTTCCTTCACTCTTTCCTCAGAACTGCTATAGCTATTTGGTGTCTTTATGATTTTTAAATGTTTTAATATTTCCTTAAAAATATAACTATGATTTTGTTAGCAACTGTGTTGACCTCATATTGATTTTGATAAATAAGCATTTTGCTATATTAATTTTCCCCATCCATGGAGGGACCCAAGCATCAACTGCCTTTGACAAGGACTTTGACATGGACTTGCCTATTTGACAAGACAGAGTCAAAAAGCCATTTCTTTCAGCATTTTCAAAATATTGTGCCAAAAACCCCTCAAGGTTCCTCATAAAAATCCATAGTATTATATATGTAATATATACTATGTCGGTGGAATATATATATGTAAATGTAATTAATTGTTCTTGTATATAATTTTTTCTTGATGCTTTGGTTTCTATTCTTATTTTTAAGGGTTTTTTTTCAGATTAATTATACTCTGTCTTAGTATATCTCTTTTTGGGTTTATTTTGTTTGGAAATCTTTAAGTCTCTTGTAACAATATTTGGTTCCTTCTCCATGTCAGGAAAGTTATCACTTACAATTTCACTAGACAAGATTTCTACTCCTTTTTCTTTCTTCTGGAGTTCCGCTTATAAAGTGGATATTTTTTTCTATCAGTTTTGGCCCCAGTGGAAAGTCCACATAGTTTTCTGTTTGGGTATTTTCAACTGCCCTGTGTTTCAGCTTGCTGACCATACCAGCTGAGTTTGTATGTATAGAATTGCATTCTTTTTCTTTTAAGTTTGTATTTGCAGCTGATGTGATGACAGGTGCAACTCTTAGTTGCAGTACTTAACATTCATTGCCACACTTAGTTGTGATACACGCCAGGGTTTGTTCTAGTTCTAGTTCTATAGTTATAGTTCTTGCGCACATTTGTTGAGGTGTGCTGGAGATCACAGGCTTCTTTTGGTGCCAGGAACCCTGAGTGGCAGAGTGAGCCTCATGCATCAAGTGGCACAGTGCCATTTAATCCATTAGGATCACATGTGCCATGTGTAGGAGTGCTCAGAAACAGACTCGGGGCTTCATACATGCACTGCAGACCCTGAGCACGCCCATGTCCCCAACTGATCCTTACTGTCTACTCTCAGGACCTCTAATGCTGCTTTCATTTCCTCTATTGTATTATTTAGCTTTATAATTTGGAATTTTTGTTTGTTTGTTTTTTGGGTCACACCTGGTGAGGCACAGGGGTTATTCCTGGCTCTGCACTCAGTAATTACTCCTGGCAGTGCTCAGGGGACCATAAGAGGATGCTGGAAATCGAACCCCGGTTGGCCATGTGCAAGGCAAACGCCCTACCCAATGTGCTATCGCTCCAGCCCCGACATAATTTGAATTTTTTTTTGTTTTTGTTTTTTGGGTCACACCCAGCCAATGCTCAGGGGTTACTCCTGGCTCTGCATTCAGGAATCACTCCTGGCAGTTCTTGGGGGGACCATATGGGATGCTGGGAATCAAATCTGGGTCGGCTGCATGCAAGCCAAACACCCTACCTGTTGTGCTATTGCTCTAGCCCCGTAATTTGAAATTTTTTAAACAAATTTTTTATTTATCTTTGCTGTTATTCTCATTTTGTTCATTAATTGTTCTTATTTCAGTAAGCATTGTTAGAGCTGCTTTGACTCTTCTCCAGGGAAGTTTCCTAGTTCTGTTGTTTATAAATCTCTCACTCCCAGCCCCAAGACTTTTGCTTTGTTTGTGATACAGTCTGTCTTTTCACTTGACTTGAAATTCTATGTTCATATCTTTTTTTCCCAAAAAAATTTTATTTTACTAAAGCACTATGAGTTACAAAGTTATTCACAGTTGGTTTGTGACATACAATGTTCCATCACTGTTCCTGCCACCAGTGTCAACTTCCCTTCATCATTGCCCCCAGGTTTCCTCTCCCAAGGTTGCCACCCCGACACCCAGCCCCGGCCTCCATCAAGGCATCTTTTCAGTTTGGTTATTAAAGTTTGAGTCTCGTGATTTCAGTGTTATTGACTCTGATTTGGATATTTAACTCTCTAATTCCCTGACACCACCAATGTCCCTGAATCTCATATCCCATGATCCTACTTCTATTTGTTAGGACGCACTTAGCCAGAGAACTGCCATGACAGGTTCAGAGTAACTTAGGCCTCTTCCAGAAACAAGAAAAGTAGAAAAACCAGATGCTTTTGTCAAAGATTATGTCTCCAGAATAAGATTAGGTCTCCAGAATGTAACTGAGGTGGGCTGATGTTGCAAGCCAAAACAACAACAAAATAGATGTGTACTCTGTAGGTAATAGAAAATTGCTGAGTAATGCTTACTTGCCAGATGAGAGTATAAGAACTTGCTGAACCTAGTACTTGGGGTCCTTGTTGAAGCCTACTGCATCGGCGGATACGTGAACTCCAGCTAGCTGGAACAATATACTTCACTATGTGATTTGCATTATTGGCTCTGTTCTCTGTCCTGAGGTGTGGTTGACTCCGGACTCTCACATACTGTGTCTCATCCATCTCTTCTTTCCCACCCCCTCCTATTTTCTATTTCTTGACTTCTCCCTATACTCAGAGGCCAAGAGTGATTTTGGTCTCACCCCTATAAAGTATTGCATTTCTTCATCCAGTTGCTATCCTAGGCCAGAAGAACATTCATTCAAAAGGTTATATGTACACCATTATTCATTGTAGCACTCAGTACAATAACTAAGATTTAGAATCTATGTGCATTTCTATGGGTTGAGCTAAGCAGATTTCTTTTCCAAATTTGATGTGTTGTTCTTACATTAAGGTTTAGTGTTGCAGAGTCGAACCTCAGCTCATTAGCCAGGATACTGCTGTATCAGGGTATTTCTACTAGCATGTCTGCATGTGCTGGGTGACTGGATTCTTGTGCATGTACAGGATAGGGGTTGAGGAAGCAGGAAGCAGAGAGGCAGCTCTCGGAGGTACCAAGAATTTGAGTCTTCCAGGAGGGGGTTCTTCCACTGAAGGGGGTTCTGCAGCATCACCTCCTTGAGACCTGTTCTTTGACAGTTAGGACCCGCTTAACCAGAGAACTGCCATGACAAGCTCTGAGGAACTTACGCCTCTTCCAGGAACAAGAAAAGCAGAAAAACCAGATGCTTTTGTCAAAGATTATATCCCTGAAAGAAGATTAGGTCTCCGGAATGTAACGGTTAGGGAGTAAGCTAGATGTTGCGGGCAAAACAATAACAATGACAAAAATATATGTATTCTTGCTGAGTAGTGCTTACTTGCTAAAATGGAAGTATAAGAACTTCTTGAATTTAGTGCTCGGGGTCCTTGTTGAAGCCTGCTGCGCCACCACTCCAGGTGGATACTTGGACCCCAGCTAGTTGGAACAATAAATGTCACTATGTGATTTGCATTATCAGCTCTGTTCTCTGTCCTGGAGTGGTGGTTGACTCTGGACTCTAACATGACAGAGTTGTTGCCACAGCCTCAGGCACTCACTGACCCCCTAGGCTTTGGCCAAACTAGGATTTATGTTCTGTAGCTGGCATTATTTCCCAGGCATCAGGCATAAGCAGTCTGGGCCTGCAGGTTCAGAGGTGGTTCTCAATTGCACCACCTCTGCTGCAGGTGACCAGAAAGACAAACCAGCCCGACTGATGGGCCCCACAGGTGACTTATGTGAAGTGGGGAGGAGAAAGATGGTCACTTTCTTCCCACCTGCCTCTGCCACCCGGGACCTAGGGTTACTGGGTTCTTGTCTCGCTCACAGAAAGGAATTTCAGGAGTAGACAAGCAGTGAAGTAACAGATTTTATTTGGAGGATTATTTTAGGTGCGGGGGGGTGGGGGGAGGTGAGAGAGAGAGAGAGAGAGAGAGAGAGAGAGAGAGAGAGAGAGAGAGAGAGGTATTCAAGAGAGAACACGGGCTTCTCCAAGGGTGGAGAGAGCCCCTACTCACATCCTAGCATTAGACAGAAAAGCATGAAAGTACACATCTCAAGAGGGGAGATGCAGGCGACACATGTGCTCAGCCCACATGTGCTCGACCACATGGGTGCAAGCAGCACATGAGCTCAGGCAGCATATGCGTGCCCTTCCTTTGTTCGTCGATTGCCTCGAGCAGGCCCCAGTAATGTCTCTTTCATCCTAGCCCTGAGATTTTATTCAAGGCTCTTTAGGAGAATGAGACCCATCATTGTTACTGGTATTTGGCATATTTGGTACGCCATGGGGAGTTTGCCAGACTCTGCCCTGTGGGCAGGCTACATTCAATAGCCTGCAAGTTTGTCCAAAGTAGGAATGAGATAATAAGATGGCATAAAAAGATGTCCTGATAAGATGTGGGCCTCCAGTTCCGGGAGCTGGATTTTATAGTCTCTGAGTCTTGGCCGCTGATGGGATTACACAGTGCCAGGGGGCCAGGTGGTGGGTGTGACACCCCCTCCCCCCCTACTGGAATTTGGAGGATCTGGGTGGAGGATGCTCGACTCCAATCCGAGTAGGCTTGGAGATCTCGCCCCGGAACCCGCATGGCTTTGTTCCTCTGCCAGTACCTTCATGTGTGCGGAGAGTGGTCTCAGCATGGTGGTGGCTGGTCCTGGAGGTCTTCGGCTGCTGGAGCCCTGTTCAAGGTGGCCTTTATAGGGTATCTCCAGCCTGCCCCCACGTGGGGCTTCTTCCCAGGTAAAAGTCTGTTG